TTCCTATTCATGTTCATGTTCATGTTACACCAGCTGAGGGGCATGAAGACATGGTCATCTCCTCGTGGAACAAAAAATCGCAAACAACGACTCTATCAAAACTAGCCTTGCACCTCTAATTAACCTTCCCTCCCAACCAAAGTCAATCATTCAGCGGGCTTAAGAACCCTACTGCCTCGGCGCACCCTTTCGCCTCTCACGGTCTGTCGGGACGATAACCCGCTAATCTATCCACTGACAGTGTGCGCCGACATGGAAGCCACGGTACCAGACAAGGATGGCACGCCAACGAGTCTATGGGAAGCGGCATTCGATACCTTGTCGGCAGAAGACAAGGAGGTCCTCGAATTTACCCGCACCGACGTGCGATTCCAACCTTCGGAGCTTATGAAAGTGGTGGAGAAAAAGAAGCAGGAATGTCTCGAAAAGCAGTGGTCCTTCACGAATAAGGCGGGTAAGCGAGTGCTCGTGCGTGACGTTCTCGCCAAGGTGGTCGACTGGATCGAAAAGTTCAAACAGGTGGGCGACGTGGCAGTACAGTACGATCCCGGCCATGCGGCGATTCCCTGGGCGGCCGTAATGATGCTTCTCCAGGTGACAGTAAACGATACGCAGACGTTCGGCACCATGGCCGAGGGCCTCGAGCGCATATCATCCATCGTTGCCCTGTATACCCATCTAGAGGCCAAGGTTCTTATCCGGAACTCCGTTCTTACCAGCCAGCTCTCCACGGCTCTCGTCAAGCTCTACGGCTCGGCATTGCGGTTTCTCGCGAATGCTTGCAGGTATTACGCACAGAGCACTCTGAGTGAGCCATCCTCGATCGGTCCCCGCACAATCGAATATTCTAACTGAATCTCTCAGAGCGAACGTTGAAGAGCATCGGCAGAACCGCCAAGATGACGGTTGAGGAGCCCATGCTCCGCATTGAAGAAGACGAGAATGCTGTGTACAAGCTCCTGTCCCTCGTACAGAATGAGAGCTCAGGTCTTCAGTTGGATGACATCCTCGGGAGCATTAAACAAAGTGTCGAGAGCTTCTACGCGTCCAACGAGGAGCGGTCTAAGCGTTTATCACTATCAACCTGGATCAACGGTATCGACACCAAAAACACGTATGAAGCGGCGCTTCAAAACCGTCACGAAGGCACCTGCGAGTGGGTTCTGAGGCTGGATAGATTCCGACTTTGGGCATCAGGCGAGTCGGGCGATTCGAGGCTGCTCTGGATTCACGGCCCACCTGGCTTTGGGAAGACGTTCATGTCAGCACGGATAATTCAGCATCTGAGTCAGGCAAAGAATATACCGCTGTCGTATTTCTTCTGTATGGCAGACAGCCAGGCAACCCGCGACCCGTACGCCATCTTGCGATCCTGGTTGGCGCAGATGCTGGGACAAGACCAATCCATCGTCTCAGTCATGGACAGCGTCCACAAGGCGCGAAAGAGGGAGCAGACATTGACACACTCAGGCTTGTGGCAGCTCTTCGTCGCCGTGGGCTCGGCCGTCGATGGGTGCACGTTTGTCGTGGACGGATTTGACGAATGCGTCGACATTGACACCGGAGCCCGCTATCATCATGGTGACCCGAGAAATCTCTTTCTCCGAGATTTAGTTATAAACCTGGCAAAAACCAAGTCACGGGTCCTGGTGGTTAGCAGAGACGTGCCGGACATCCGAGAATATCTGGGGAAAGATGGGTCAACCGGAGCGGAATCATGCGTCGGGAAGCTAGAATATGGCATAACGTCCAAGGACACCACGGCCGACGTGGAATCCTTTTCGGAACACATGGTCAACACCAAGCTTCCCAGGAAAAAGGCAGAACTACGGCACAAGATCGCTGCACAGGCGGCCGAGCGGAGTGAGGGCATGTTCCTCTGGATCAAGCTCCTCGAGCAGACCATCTCACCGGGGCAGAATGCGAAGCAGTTGGTCAAGACAGTGGCGGAAATGCCCTCTGGAATCAGCGAGGCGTACTCTTCCGAGCTGGAGAAAATTGTTCGGCTCCCCCCCGACGAGAAGGATCAGGCGGTCATGATCCTGCGGTGGACACTGTTTGCCATCGAGCCTCTCCAAGTAAAGGAACTCGCCGAAGCACTTGTTGTATCGGGTGAGGAGCTTGAAGAGTATCCATACGACGACCTCCCCGACTCCTGGTGTGACGGCTTCGTCGATGAGGACTATGTCAAGGAGATGATTCTCGGCAGGTGTGGGTCCCTTCTACAGCTGAAGTCGACGTCAACCGACCAGCAGTTGGCAGATTACACGGTTCACTTCGTCCATTTTTCGGCGAAGGAGTACCTCTCCAAATTATCTCGGAGCACCGTTATTTCCAACCAATGGGCAGAAGATCTTGGTCTCGGCGAGCCGGCCGTTGAGGAGGCTCGTATATCCAGCATATGTCTTCGCTACCTCACGCTCAGCCCGTTCGAGGATATTCCACCCAACGCGCATGTCTACCCTTTCCTCTCCTACGCCGCCTGGGCCTGGTACTTACACAGCTTTCGTGACAAGCCCACGCCGTCCCAGAATATCATGCACCTGGCCCAGAGAGTCTTTGACCCAAACACGTCGAGATGGCGCGTCTGGACGCCCCTCATGGAGGCCAGACTAGCCGAATTGAAGCTCTACGGCTGGAGATTCCGGGAGGCCGACACCATTGAAGCCGATCAACTTATATACTATGCCTCCCTTCTAGGTCTTACCGACGTTGTCTGCTGGCTCGAGGACCAAGGGCTCGACTGCAGCTGCGTTGGCGGCTACTTCGGCTTCCCTTTGCAAGCTGCCGTGGTCAGTGGCCAGGAGGACCTCGTCCGGCACCTACTCAACCGCGGCGTCAACGCCTCCCAAGCCGGCGGACATTGCGGCGCAGCTATCATTGCCGCCGTTCTCGCGGTCCGGGCGAGCTCAAGCATTCTTCAGATGCTGCTTGAGGCAGGCGCAGACCCAAACGCTGCAGACGGAGAGGGCTGGACGGCTCTGCATTACGCCACTGCGTGCGGTGACCTCGTGACAGTACGGCACCTCGTGGCGCGCGGAGCGGACCCCAGCGTGGCCACCACCAAGATCGGCCACGTGCCCCTGAGCCGGGTGGCCGAATTCGGGGACATCGTGTTGATTGAGCCTCTGGTTAATTTAGGGGCGCATTTTGACGACCGGCCAAGTGCGATTTGGCTATCATTAATCATGACGGAGCTGCTGCTCCATTTCGTCCCGATCACGAAGAGGGCCTCGGTCTGGGGCAGGCTACAGTGCACACGACAGACGGCGTTTGATCTCGCCACCACGGGAAGATGCCCCGAGATGCTCGAGCTGCTCGTTCAGAGGGGCTGTTTCCGTATGGTCGGGGACAACGACAAGGGGGGTGAGGGGAGCAGCGCGCCTGTCGAGGGGCATGCTAGCGATGGCTTGGTCATGCTAGCGTACCGTGGCGATTTTGAGGGAGTGAAGGTGTTGCTTTCCGGGCAGACCCGGTCGCAGCACGTCCTCGGGGAAGCAATGAATGCTGCGGCGGCCCGCGGGCATGTGCGTGTCGTGGACCTCTTCCTTCGCCACGGCGCAAGGCCCAATCTCCAGGACATCAACGGACGAACGGCCCTGCACCACGCAGCGCGGTACCTTCACGGTCAAGTGGCCGGCTTGCTCATCGAGCACGGGGCGGGTACCGAGATCATGGACCTGTATGGGTCGACGCCAATTGACCCGGCTATCCTAAACGGAAATGGCGCAACCGCGTTTATTTGGAATCGCCTGGACGACTTTCCCGTCGCCATCAACCGCCGGCTCTCGCTTTTAACCCCCCACACGCCTGATCACACGGCGGACCCGGTTTTGATGGGCGTCAGGAGGGCGATAACCGGGAGGTGGGAGGAGAATTATCAGTACCGAGTGGCTAGAGTGGGGCCGTTCAACACCTTTTTTCTTGAAATACCCCCCGAGACGCCAGAGGGTTCCCGGCCCTCAACGTTCTCAATGGTCGGGAAGGATAGAGTCGGTCCCTTTTATCTCCAGGGGTTTGTCGACTTCGTCGGGGCGGTCTGGTTTGTGAAACTGTACCAACGTCGGGGGTGGCTGTATCGCGGGGAGGTGTTGAAGGGAACACGTGGGAGTAATCGAAAGCGGTGGTTCTGGACATTTGACCTGAGACGGATGTGGTAATTGTGTGGGAAATCACAGCCGTCGGCTCCTGCTCATCTGAGCTATGAGTTTATACTAGGTAACTTACCTAACCTGCCCTGTGTCACTCTGGCCAAACATAAGCGGCTGCCGGCGCATCCCGCCCCCCTCTTCCCCCCAGTTTTCTACAGCTGACTTGATCCTGATTAACTCGCCCTGTAGGCTGATTCGCCCGTATCTCTCCTGTCAACACGAGGTTGACATCGCGCGCCGCCGACCGCCGTGTGACGTGCTTGCATGTATTGCCTAGGTATGACGGTCGTTCGGTTTGATCCGGTGGGCTTGCCTCCGGAGCATGCGGCCAACCTGCATTGACAAAGGCTGGTTGATTGGTCGAGAACCCGTCATACAACACAGCTCACGCCTAAAATGTGTCGTGTCAGTCCGCGTTGGTTGGCCGTCGGCATGGAGGCGCGGGACGTGTGAGAGGAGGAGCCAGCACGGAGGACGGCTCGTGAGTGGAAATGGTTGGTGGGGGCTAAGGATTTGAAAGCTGTGGTTTGGCTGATGGGCGAGAATTAGGCAGATAGTGAGATCGTCCGAGTAGCGTCCGGTTCCGTACTACGGCGATAATGCAGCAGCATCTAGCAGAGCCAATACAATCGTCGATCGAAGCACCCTCCGCAGTCACGTCGCGGTTTTGAAGCGGCGGCTGTCCCTGATCTTGCTGATGCGCATGAGAGTCTCCGTTAGCCATGACGGGACCTCGGCGTTGAGCACGACGCTTACGGCGGCGCGGGGGGGGTAGCCGAGGCTGATAATAGCTTAGAAGGCATTGTCAGCTATACGTGAGAAGGAGCCGGGCTACGGCTCCGTTTGGACGTTTCCTGCTTCAACTGGCAGTATTATATTACGCCTTTGCCGTTCCCGCCCGGGAGCGTGAGCGTGTTGCCTAGATACCGCTAGCGAGGCATCTGTTTACCTGCTATCTTGTGGTCTCCAGAGTCAAACGGTCACACCCAGCCACCTTCTGGCGATGTTCATCCTTAGAGCTGTACAGTTATACGCCGTTTCATCTCGATCGCACTCTGGCCAATGGGCCATGTGCCTTACCACATGAGAACGACACAGGGGGTGGCGTAAGGTGAGAGAGTGGTGTGGAAGAGAGTGCCACACCTGCGGGGGAATGCCGCGGGCCCTGACCCCCCGATACTCACCGAACGGTAAAGTTGGACAGCATCGCGTCGCCTTCAGCGGAGCTCAAGGGATGGTTGGCTTAAGTCGGCATGATCTAATATGGTGGCTGCCCTCGATAGGCAGATGGTCGCCGGCGCCTTGTCGTGGCTAGTATCATCACCCATCCTACAGCCAAGAAGCCGACGCGCTGTCTATTTACTGAGATGCGTCCTTATCTGTACAATCTCGTTGTCGTAGACCTTGTGTTGGACTCTGAGCATCTTGAAGAACCGTCGTGTTACGGGCTAAACCAACGGGCGTCCGCACGGACCAGCCGGCACAAGGACGGGCCGGGCGAAGGACCAATGGGAGGATGCTCTGTGGAGACTTTGGGAATGGTCACAGAGCAGAGGTACGAAGGTACATCACAAAGGTATCAGGATGCCTCCCCAACAGTAGATAGATAAAATAGCAGCGTCCTGGAGGACTCTAGGAGTTCTCCAGTAAGCAATACAACTTGTTCACTACAATTGCTCGGACCAGTGAACATTGAAACCAAATCATTATCCCGTTGTGAACCGCTTTACCGGATCACAACCCTTTCGTCATACCTTCAGTGAACCCTTTCAGAGTGTAGTTGAGAGGCGATCCGTCACACGTCGGAAGACGGCGAGGATCGTAGAAGCCTTGAAGGCCTCGAGGTAGTAATCCCACGAGTAGCCTGATCTGCGGTCAGTAAACAACATCAGGTATCTGTCTGAGGTTGTCATGTGACGCCGGCAGGATATAGGGCAGTGTGCGGATGGGTGATGGGGACGTTCGGTGTCAAAGAGATGAGGTTTAAAGTCGAGACTAACACTCTCTCTGACCATTCATGGAAACATGAAACAATATAATTAGACGGTAAAATACGAACAAAGCCAAAAAAAAAAAAAGGGGTGAAACGTTAAACATCCAGGAGGCTGGCCGGAAGCGACTAATTACGCGCTCTCCGATTCGGGCCGTGGTCCTTAGCTGGAGGAGGAACGTTGAGGAGGGTATGTAGGTGGATGGCATGTGGAGATAGTGCCGAAATGCAAGAAATGATGCCAGATCAAGTTTTAAGTAAATGTATGTATGCATTCAACCGCTACGCTGCTTGCCAGGGAGCTCGACGTCGGGGTGGTACACCCGGCAGTGCCGCGTGAGGGCATCCGCCCGGCTGAGTGTCTTGTCGTCGGTGCAAAGGTTACAGCGGACCTTCCGAACGTTGTGGATGGTGTTCTCGTGACGGGTCAGGTCGTAAGGGCGAGAGAAGACAGTGTTGCAGGGCTTGCCCGTGCTCGGGTTGATGTGATCGCAGCGGTGCGGGTCGGCTTGCGTGTTGAGGAGGGCCGAAGAGGTCATGCCACCAGGGGTGTCAGGCCGCCGAACCGAGGTAAGGCGGTGGGCCTAGCGATGGCCCTCTCTCTTGTGCTTCTGCAGCAGGGCAGGAGTTTTGAAGCGCAGGGTACAACCGTAGTAGGTGCAGGTGTAGGTGCCGCCATCGGCGCGCGTGTCTGAAGGGCGCTACGGGGTGCCGCCATAGACCGAATCGGTTATACCAGTCTCAGCAGACCCGAGCCTTGTAGTGCCCACGGGGCGTTCGAGGGATTCCGGGGACGAAGCCGTGGCGTAGTATTGAGGAGACGCGGGCGCGGTCACCGGGGCTGGGGGGCTTGGGTCGACCTCATGCCCCTGCGGTAGATTTTTGAAAGCCATCTTAACGACGGCTAGGAATGATCAAGGTGACCCTGATTGAGATAATGAGACAAGACAAGAAGGTGTTTTGGGCTGGGGAGGAGGGCTCGTTATCATTCAACTAAAGGGCAGGGGTCGAGATCAGGGTCTCGCAAGGATCTCATCAAACAGAGAGGTCTAGGATGTGGCGCTCCAGACTCGAGGTCAAGGCCCCCAAATCAAGCCCATAACTTCTGTATCCAGTCATCCCAGGGACTGGGACTGGGTGTGTTTGGTGGCTGCCGGGGTGAGGGTGTGAGATTCCCAGCGCACCTAGTGGATGGGCGCGGCGGTGTCTCTAACCGAGGGTGATCTGCTGCATCTTTTCAGTCAGATAGGCGGGGACACTTGGCCAAGGTGGCGACGCAATTCGCATCGTTGATTCCGGGACATTCTGGGCCAACCAAGCTGCAGCCTTTGCCTCGTCCTGCACCGGCCGCAGCTCAAGAAACCACTCTCTTGGTTGCAAGTGGGCGGGGCTGGTCACGATATCCGAGGCTAGGTGTAGTCTGCCTGAGGCGAAGCTTCAAGGAGGTGAGGACAGTGAGTCATGTGTTGTCGCCGCCGCCACGGCAACGGGCAACCAACCGTACCGGTTCAGCGCGTCGTACGAGGCTAGGTGGTCTGCCCAAGCCCAGAGCTGCGGTCTGCGCAGGACGAGGCAAAGGCTGCAGCTTGGTTGGCCCAGAATGGCCGACGCGTCGTCTGAGCGCAGATCATCCGGGCGACGGGCTGGGAAGGGCCGCGCGATGGTGCCTTATCGGCAGGATAGTGTGGGATCGGGGGGATAGTGTGGGATCGGGACCTTATTTTGGGAAACTGGCCTCGGGCTTCCCGGGGGGACTGCGGCGGTTGTTGAGCATGAAAATCGTTAGACCTATGCCGTCGCATCAGCGAGTGAACGGCCACTTGGACCTGCGGTTCTGTGCAGCCCGATAGGGGAAGAACCAGGGAGGGGTAGGAGATTGCGGCTGTAACGGCTACCACGCAGTCTATAACCCTACCACGGCGTACTGTAAACAGTTCGTAATAGCTATTTGCATAGAAGGGGAAGTCTTGTAGCGCCCTGTTCTGCTCGAGCAGCTCTGCAAGCAAACTAGAATCGGCAGCGTGATCTGAGCAGCGAGATCAGGGCCATCAGACGTTGGGCTTGAGCCTGGAGTTATGTGATTGGACAAGGAGCGACTCACGTCATTAGCGTAGTTTACAATCACCCCTCTCTACTGCTAAAATCCGACCATGCGCACCTAATTTCGTACCGCGCTTTCCATTCCGCGCAGTATTTTCTCTCTTGATGTCGAAAGCAAGCTCAAAAATAAACAAGCGCTGCGATCGCTGTGCCTCCTTGCATCTGCATTGTGATGGACCGAACCCCCCATACGATGTGTGCGTCCGGTTAGTCCTGGACTGCCGTCCTCGAAAGTGGGCCCGGAAGGGCAAAGCTGCCGTGCTGCCGCGTTCCGATCTAAGGTACTCTGCGTTGACCGTCTAGGGCAGCTTGCCGCCCCCTTGGACCAATCAGCATGCAGATTCACGACCCACAGCAACTCGTCGAATTTCGACGAGTCGCTGTGGGTCTTTAACCTAAAACCAACGCTTGCTGTTAGCCTGAGAAGACCATACAACAAAGCTCCCACCCAACCTTAGGTTGTTTAGCGATGATACGCACATTGTAGCCGGGATGGACTGTACTGTCTTGGTACTTGCACGCTGCTACCTTCCGACCACTCTTCGTGTAAGGCTGGGTTCCTGGCATCGGGTATCACACGACAGCTGTGTGCATCTAGACAATACATTGCGTTAGTGCCGAGTCTGAAGGGTTTGCTCGGTTGTGTGCTGGCAGAGGCTACAAGGTACGATGACGACGTTGCGGTCTTTTCTTTGGTGTCTACTTGTAAAAATCGGTGGTTATCCCACTAGAACATCACGCTTACTTGGAGCGTAAGAATACCAGTTATCCTCCGTTGAAATAAAAGGCTTTTCTGCTGCGGCAGGGCTGCGGTATTGTGGGACGCATTGTAATCCCTTGGTAGTGCATTTTTTGCATGGCACCTTTTTGTCACAGGCCTGCTTTGCGCGGAAACACTGCTGGCAAGCGCGCAGAGTGTGTGGGGAGATCGGCATCTCAGATAGCAGAGACCGTTCAGTATAGAAGACGAGATCGTTCGTTCGACGGGAAAAGGGAAGATTTCAGTCCGTCAGAGTTTGAGAAAACGAAGAAAGGTCAGCGTACCGGAGCTCGAGAGAAAGAGGAAAGGTCAGGAGATCGGAACTTGAGAGAAAGAGGAAGCGTCAATGATCGGAATCTGAGAGAAAGAGGAAAGGTCAGCACCAGTAATTGATCGACAACAACTGGTAGCCTCCATCCGGGTGTTTCCTCGCGTCGAACTGCCCCTACCCCTTGTGTTCAGTAGCCCCGGCCCGGAAGCCCCCCTGATTGTCACGTCCCAGGATGGTTTGGTTTCCGCGAGACCAGTTCGGGCACCTACCCTCGGGATGCTCGACGCAGGCCCAGAGCCAACCGCACGGCGCCAGCTCCGCAACCTCCTTCAGCACCAGGTTTCCATCCTCCCGCGCTAGAATCCGGTTCGACGCCCGGTTGCGGATCATGAACGTCCGGCCGGGCCAGGGGACGCTCTATACCTTGCTCCACCGAGAAGTTGCCTTCAGGCCCCGGGCCGGGTACGATATCAGATATGTACGTGGGCGCATCGGCAACGGCGTGGTCGTTGCTTGGTTGGGACTTAGAGCGTAGCTCAATGCAGTAATTGTAAATTGATTACTAGAAAAAGCCTAGAGTCCTCCAGGACGAGCGACCATATTACCCCCAAACCACTCAGGCGCCATATACCTTCATCTGTAATAACCTGTGGTGCCCTGCCCCAAATCCCTGAAATCACGCTGTTGCATCATAGACTACTCGGTCCTAGATCACTGAGATCACCACAGAGCGTGGCCCAATATTCGTCCAGGTCCTTTTGAAAAGCTTTGAACGGCCTGTTGAACTTCCCCAAAAACTTTCTATACCTCTTGGCGGACTCCGTGTTGACCCAAGTGAACGACTCGTCGAGGGCCGTTAGCAGTTCATTTACGCTTTCGGGCCGGTCGGCAGCCTTTTGCTTCGTGTTCGAGAAATGCTGCGAAACAGAGCCTAGGAATATACAATCGCCACAGCAATTCGCTCCCCGAAACCGTGTTGAAACCTCGGCGTCGACAAAGTCGAGAATACTTTGGACTATCGAGAGGTGGAGGTTCGTTATACAGGCTATTTACTGTATGTTAGTGCCAATGGCGGATAAATGTATGTTTCAATGTCGGCACTAGCTTACCTTCGATGCCTGGCGGCCCATATTCAGACAGGGGGCCAGCGATATTGCCGTCACAGCTGGTGAGCCCCGCTATTTCCGTGTGGGTGAGGGTTGAAGAAAAGTTGATGATGTTCGTTGTGAAAGCATCTTTGGTGCGCAGTTTCCAGGCCGCATAAATACATCCAACCATGTTGTCCTCGTCCGCGTCAAGGACGTCAACCTCCCACGAGCTGGCCCAGGGCTGAAGTTTACCAAGCAGGTCGTACTTGTCAGCAACTTGGACAAGGTTCAGTAATTGATCGAGAGAAGGTCGCTTTGGTAATTTCTCAAACTCTGCATGAACAATCAGAAGAAGGAGTTTCATAGCTTTTGGATCGTCCTCTGGCAGGCGGACAACCCACTCGCCGCTGGCGGGCTTGGCCTCGGCATACCCACCAAACAGCATAGTCTCCCACGGTCGACATGCGCGTCCCATCGCGCGAGAACAAACTCGAAACCTAGTAGGCTCGTCGCAGACTTCTGTGCCGATGACGAGAACAAGGTCACCGCGAGGGTCGATAACCTTCTCCGTTGCGGCTGTGTTGGTCGATGCGCTGGTGGCGACGATGGCGTCGGTGTTACTGGTGTCGCTAGTGACGCCGGTGGTGTCGGCGATGTTCAACTTCGTTCTCTTTCTCGTGGTCTCGGTGTCGTCGGTGTCGCCGGGTTTGCTAGTGACGCCGGTGGTGTCGGCGTCTGGCCTGCTTCTCTTCTTTGTTTTGGAAGGCATTATGATGGTTGAAGACGTGATATGCTGTATAGTGAAGGCAATTCCCGACACGCGAGAGGGACCCTTATATATCCCCGTTGGCTGGGCGGGTTGATAATACAATCCCCACACCTTACAGGCGCCAAGTCGTAGGTAGCCCCCCGATACTCCCCTGACGACTGCGCCTCTGGTCTCCTCATACGAACCTGATAGCTCGGCCGCTCGGCCACGACTAGAGTAAGCAGCGCCTACCGGTTGGGAGCAAGGCATCCGCGAGATGTGTCATACAACCGGGCCGCTGCAACTGCGGCCTAGATGGGTGGAGGCAGGAAGAGTAGCAAAGTGAGGAAGAGCAGCAGGGGATACTCATTCTAGGTAGTCTGTAAGTGGTGTGAGTGGCGCATCACAGCACTTGGACGCGGTTGGGGTCCTACGTGCTAGCCAAAAAAAAGGGGCACACCAAACATATTCACCGAGTTCAACCTGCCACTCGGATCATACCGCATGTGCCTCATTCCCTTCTTATACGACGTTCTGCGGGCCCCTTTCTGCACGACCCAGGTCCTGATCCCTGTTTTCATATTCCCAGCGCCACCAGCAGCGAATAGGGGGCACCAAGCTGCCTCATATGCGTGATAGTCACGTCCTTGTACTATCTTGCTACGACTGAAGCGAAGACAAGAAATCACCTGCCGACGCCGTGGCACCATACAGCGTCACTCGCGAGCCACGTACGGAGCCGGCGAGGCCACGTCATGCCGAGTTCACCTCCTCTCCTCGGCGGCTTGGGCCTGCACTGCGACCTACCTTGAGGATTCATCCCAATCGATCGCCCACACCGAAGACTCAATCTTGTTGTCGGCTCAGCTTCCATAAGCCGCCTGCAGAGCCCAGGAGGTGGCATCGTATCGAGTCCGCCTCGAACCCTCCAAGCCGGGACTATATTGCGACCTTCCTTTGACGGCTTCCCCCGCTGGATTGCCCCTGACCGAGGTCTCATAGTCGTGACAGATTTTAAGCAACGTGCTGGGCTGTGAAGGGCCTCATTGTACACCCAACCCCGGGCGCTCGGCCGGCTCGGCCGATGTGATAGCTGCATGAACCAGGCACCCTCCTCTTCGTCGTCGATGCAGCCGGCATCACCAATCGCGAGGGAGACAACCCCTCACCGAGCTGCTGCACACATAAATGCTAACCTCGCGCCGTCGGCCTTCCCGAGGGCCGGGTCTGCCTCGCTGTCAAAGCGGCAACAACAAGGATCGCCTATCATACGGCGTTGCTTCGCGCCAGATAAGGCAGCTTCTGCAGGATGTTGTCGGAGCCACGAATCACAAACTTGACCTGACACCGTGATCCGTCACATCTCTCTAGAAATAGCTTAGCAGGGAGGCTCGGAGCATGCAGTACGCGCCTCGACCCCTCCTCATGCGACGCTCCGTCACCTCTGTCTTGCACTTCGTCCCTGTTGTCACATTGCTAGTGCCTCTAGCAGCAAGAAATGAGGGCATCGAGCCACCTCATACGCGCGGTAGTCCCGTCCCTGTGCCATCTCGCTCCAACGGCATGACTCGCGAACCGCCCGCTGAGTCGGGGTGGCCACGTCACGTCGAGTCCGCCTCGTCGCCCCGGTTGGGCAAACGTTCTGACCTTCCCTTGAGACCTCTTCCCGGTTGGATTGCCCCTGACCGAGGCCGTATCGTCATCGTCAGCTCAGCCCCCGTGAGCCGCCTGTAGAGGCCACGTCATGTCGAGTCTCCTCGTCCCCTCCGCAGTAGGGCCCGCGCTGCGACCTCCCCAAAGGGACTCTTTCCAGTTGGATCGTTCTGGCCGAGGCCTCATCGTCGTGTCGGCTTAGCCCCCGCGAGCCGCCCACAGAACAGGAAAGGCCACGTCATGTCGAGTCCGCCTCGTCGCCTCCCCAGTTGAGCCCGCTGCAATCCTCCCTTGAGGCCTCCCGCCAATCGGATCACGTAGCTAACCCGAGCGCTCATGGTCGTTGGCGCCAGCCCCCGCCCACCTAAACCTGTCTGCAGCCGCCGGAGTCACGGCGTGTGGTCCGATCTAATCCGAGACACCAACCTGCCTTTCTCGCGACAGCGGCCTGCATCCCTTGCCGCAGCTGCGCTCATATCCGGCCCGATTTGCGGCTAACGATATGGATATTCCGCAGACGGCAATCTTCGAATACGACATACAGAGGGGAGGAGGGGTAGCCTTCTCCGGCGCCTCTGTGTATCGACGCGGTCAGTACCTGCGGCATTGCTGCTGATGATCAGGGCGGGGACGTAGTCTCGCACTTGTGCCTGGAATCCGCTAGGCAGGCATGGCGTTGGCTTACACACGATGTTAACCTTGCGACGTAAGGTATTGTTGCGTACAGGGCTAGAGCACGGCGAGATCGTGAGAGCTCCCACATCGACGACTCTCAAAGACAAGCAGTACTGTAGCCGACAAAGAAGGCAAATCTGGAAGGTCCTAGACAGCTACTCCACAAGTGGTGAGTGAGCTGCCGGGCGATAGCGTGTGCGGCCCGAGAAATGCCGAGAGAGGGGGAAGACATGGGATGAAGAAAAAAAACGCATGCAGCGTGGCGAGACGAGTAGCAGCGTAGTGGATGTGGACAACGAAAGAAGGGAAGGGGCGCAAGGCCGATGGGGATGAAGCTTGGTGCAATCCGTCCTGTGATTCTCGGGACAGGCGATGTCTGCGGTCGTATACTGTGGCCTGATTGGATACCGTGGTGGTCCTTGTGGGTCCGAACGGAGGAATCAGAAGTGGTAATCCGTACATGGAAGTACGTGCACAAGCTCACACGGTTTCCCGGGTAACCTGATTTGTTTACTACCCCTGAGATTTCATAGACGCCAAATCAAAGAATCCAGGCAGCACATCCAACAGCAACGGACATAGACGGGCAAGGTACTCATGATGAAGCTCGCTGTATAGCTCCGCACGTCGTCCGAGCTCGTTGGCTCTCAGATACGCTACCTACGTTACATCAACGCCCATTTCGGTAAGGAAGAACTGGCCCAGCCACAAACCAAGACCACGCGATAATCTACGTGACGGCAAGTGACGGCGCAGCAGAGCTGGTCCACAGGTAGGCACCACAGGGGTGCGAGAGATACCTCAAAGATACAAGCCTCGGATAGGACTTGACACCGGAGAACACCCAGAGAAGGGTATATTTTCGTACCCCTTGCGCCGCTCAAATCTTTCCCTGGTAACGCGGAGCTTCTGGATGTCTGCCCTCCGCAGGAAAGCCGAAAGACTCCATGGGCGCTGCTCGAGTCCCGCTGCCTTGGCTGCGCCCCTGTCCACGGCCCTCCCGAACAGCACACCACTCACCAGCGTGGGAGCGAGAATACTCCCCGGATATTGTGCTAGTTTCACTACAGAAACAGTCTCATCCCCCCCAAATCCCGTGCTGGTACCGTCCCACTGTCTTTGAAATCTGCATTTGTATCGCATCCATTGCCACAACGGGGACTGCCCTCCAGAGCGCGCTCCGGAACAAACCAGGCAAAGATGCGCGGACGACCTACAACGCTCATCACACCGGCCGAGCCGGGCTCGCTCACCGACATCATACGTAGGGAGCCTCGTTCACGTCTCTTCGTTCTCCCGGCCTACTGGACCGATAAGCATTCCCGGCTGCTTGCCGCAAGCTTCTTCCCGCAGCCTGCCATCAAGAAGCCGGTCCCCGAGGGCAAAACACGGCTCAAGAATCCAAAACGGCTAAACGGCTGGCATTGGAGTAGCGCTCCTATCATCCTCTTCCCTCATACCCTGACCGGACCCGATGCCGCAAGAAACCTCTCTCCCGCCAGCAGCGTCGTGCCTGCTGTTTTCTCCGTCGGGCGTTGCTTGCCCTTAAGTCACCTGTCCATCTCCACCCGGAGGTTAAATGGAAACAACAACAACAGCTCTCTCCACTATGCCTGCTCCTCCGATGCTGCAGGCTCAATCGTCGTAGGCCGGCCCTCTGGTTGGCCATTTTCGCTCGGTGATCAAGCCTTCGATCCGAGATTCATTGGGTTCTCCGCTTTTGACATCCTCTGTCTTTTCGCACCTGCTCTAGACACGCCATCAGGAGACCGTAGGCGTTTGAGTCTGCCAGGCTGAGAACCTTGTCCGCCAACTGTATCATTGTGACCCGCTGACGGCTGATCCTCGGTTGGAAAATTGGGGACGGTTCGGACGTTTGACGATGCACTGCCCTCTGTATGATGATGCGTAGACTGGCTGTCGTGGCCAGACCCGAAGGCTGGGGAACCGTCCGGTGATTGTCCATAAAAAGCAGTGTTGAATTCCCGGGCCTGCAAGGGACGACCATTCCTCTGCGACAGTCGGGATCCTTGCAAGCAGTTCTCAAACACTACAGTTATTCTCCCTGTCTGAGGGTTACTGATGGAAAACTCGACCCGCCCGTTTCCCGACTTATCGTCGATGTGTCTGGTATATTTAAGCATCTCGCCGTTCCAATGTACAGTTATAGTGCAGCTCGTGCCAAAAAGTTCCTTGGGCTCGTGGATTTCCTGATTTTTGGACGTAGGTGCTTGATCCGGTTCCGAGCATTCAATTCGTGACTGTCAATGAGTTTCAGTAAGCAAGTCGATGTGTAAGGTTGATGCCCGAACCTCATCCCAACCGACGACGACGGGGAGGCAGTGACGGGCTACAGGAGTCGTCAAGTTTGTTGTACATGATCCTTACCAACCACATCCTCCGGGCGTGGACAGACGAGGATCCCGACGATGCCAGTGGTGCGCCAGGTAGGTTGACAGAGACGGTGATGGTGTTGCTGGAGTACGGCGCCGACCCGTTTGCGAAAGAGGAGTGCCCACTGCATTCTGGCGAGGATTCTTTCTCGGGAGGGGAGGGTGGACTAGAATGCCGGTGTAGTATGACGGCGTGCTCGGTGGGAATGGTATCGTCGTATATGAGGTTGCAGAGGCATTTTGTCGAGTTGGAGCATCGGCAGCGGTGTCCGAAGTTGGGGTGTCGGGATGGTCGGATGCGGTATGGGTTAGTGAGGGAGACGGGGTGCGTTCCGCGACGAGAAGGGGCGGAAAGGGGGAAGAAGTCGTTGGCTGTTGCTCAGGGGGTGCATGTGAATTGAGCGGGATTGATACATGATTCCCGGATTCAGTTTTAGGAGGATCCTCGTTGCTCCTTTCTTATTTTCTTTTTTTCGTTTTTGTTTGACCGAGGATTTTGGTCAGGTGCGATTGTCGGTAAACAAGGATTAGGCGTCAAGGGATGATAGGTGGATGGATAATGGATTTATTGATAAGAGCCTAGCCACCCCCTTCCTACCCCTACCATCCGACAAGTATAACTCTTACTATAACACCTTCCTATAGCGGCCGATATTGGACTTTGATAGAGATCTATAACATTATTAGGCAGGCGGCTATACCTGGCTAGCCTACCACGCCCTGGAACGTTAACATTGGCGATGGGATGACCCCGAGCTCTTTGCCCCGGCCCTCTTCTCGCTGGCCGGCTTTTTCGCTAATCGGGGTGGGTTAGGGCCGCTTGCCTGATCCGACGCTTGTCTAATAAGAGCGGATGGGTTGCGGCCCTCGTAGAGGAATCGCGCAAGGTTTGGTCTGGCCTCCATGGATGCTTGTCGTGAAGGCGTCTTGAAGCACCCAGATCGGCCAGCAATCGTGGAGATAGGCTCATGAAATAGCGGCGTTTCTTTTCCCTCCAGTGAGCTCTAGGAGATATGTGCCTCCTCATCGCTATCAGTTGGAGCTCGGCTAGATGTATTTGAGGGATTTTGGGGGACCGATAACGAGGCTTCAAGGCGAGACGAAAACCCATCTGCGTCAATCCGCCGACTCCTGGGTTTTGCGCACTCGTTACCCTGGTCGTCTACATACACCCGCCACGCCTAAAAGCCCAGGTCAGTAAAAAAGTCACAGAGGCTTCGACTTAGGCTTTGACACATACCTCCGGCGCTTTAGATGGAACTGGCTTAATCTTGGGCCGTATTTCCGCCGGGCCTGAACGTCGACTTTTGGCATCATCACCGCCGTCGTCGGAAACACTACAATTAGGGTCTCCGCTCTTGGTATTGGTAATTCCCGCCTTCTTCACGAGAAACCTCCGTTTACACCGCTCGCACCCACATTTGAGGCAACCAACCAATGCCTTTCGGTCACCGCGGGTGAGGAAGTCACGCGCCTCGACAAAGATCGAAATCCCCGTCGCTCGCTTTATAGCATCCAGAAACTCCTAGCACTATCTCCATTTGGAAGCAGTTAGGTTACAACTATCCAAGGTATTCGGGCCTCGTTTTTCATTTGGGGGCCAGCCGCTCGTGGCGGCCGTCTTGACGGCTAGTCAGGAAACCGAGGCGATGAACCCGGTGGTCGCCCTCTGAAGACCCGGTTTAGCGATCTCGAATTCCAGATATGGGCGTGAAGGAATGAGCTTCTTGGCCTTCTTTCTAGAAGACAATTCCTGCATCCTGATTCTGCCCGCTTCGACGGCTGTATATAGGATTTGTTTGTTAGCAAATAGCATTTAGTAAAAAAGTCATAGCAAGACACTTCCGCCTGGTTGGGCTGGGGAGACGGGCGAGTTAAAACGCCAATGTTCAACTAACCAGGACTCTAACGCCATAGAATGATGCAAGATCTTGGCTATCACTCGTCTCTCGGCGTGTTGGCTATCAGTAATAGACGGCAGCCCTAATCGCTTGTACATCTGAAGCTTATCCCCGAAGGGGCCGGTCTTAGTGTGGGCGAGGGCATCTCGCCCTCGAAGGTCTCGCACCAGCACTGAGGCTCCATTCTGAAGGAGAAACCGGGTGATTTCAAGATGGCCGGCGAGGACGGCTGTCATGAGCGGGGTGGTTCCGTCCACGTCGGGGGCTTCAATAATTTCGTCCGCGTGTCCTGGTGTATCTTGTGTCTGTGATTGGTCTTCGAGGCCCGGTGCTACGTCTTGTCCAGATCCTTTATGAGCTCGGAAAACTGTTGCGATATCTCGAAGGCTGTGTCGCCGGCTCAAAGTCCAAATATGCAGCTGCTAGTGTCCGGTACTTGGCATCATCTGTAGCGCAAGCGGGAGCTGTGACGTGCTCGAAACTCAACGTTAGTATAGACCGCTCTTGTTTAGGGGGGCAGGGTGGGAGAAGGTACTAGATGTAACAATAAGAAATTCCGAACTTACATGGATGATTTTTAAACTTCTCTAACTCTACCTCTTTCAATCCCCTCTTTGCGCTGTAGATAAAAGTATCTCTCAACCTGCCATGTGCTTTTTGGTCCAGCAGCCGGGCCTCTTTGGCACGATTATTAGGGTTGATGCCTGCTTTGCTTTCCTCGGCGGCTTGTTTTGAGACATGCAGGCCAGGACCTGAAGAGCCCGGGCGTGGTCAAGGGCGTGGTCGAGTCGAGGGCGCGCAATCGGGCGCGCAAGAGAGGGCACGCAAGAGAGGGATGAAAAATGATTGTGTGGATTTTTATTGCGTTATTGAGCGATTCAGCGGCTCCAAGATTGATGTGATTGAGACAGAGGCGGGCGCCTTCCTTCATGGTGGCAGTTATGTATGGGCGGGGTCACGTGCATGTGGTCCGGGATGGGCGGAAGGTCACTCCACGACGAGGAAATGCTCCAACAACCCTAACCCTATCCTAACCTGGGCGAGGGCTGAAACCGGAGATGTGGCAGACCGGGTTGCCCGGAGTAAGTTCAGGACCGGGTTGATGAGCGAAGCCAAGGAATGGTGGCAGACGGAGTATGTAGGAAACCGTGAGAGCTTCAGTGAAATCAAGAAAGCTTTCCCCCTGCTCTGACTCCGTAGCTGTAGGAGCTTTTTTTAGGATCTCGTTATGGTAGAGCATATGCTATTGATAATTTGCTTGAGCAGGCCTGTGGCAATGTTAGACTTCCCTCCAACTCTTCCCCCTTTCTAAGATACATAGACAGAAAGGCATCCCCCCATTATACCGTGACCAGTACACCAAAGTCGGCGGTCTTCGCACGGAGATAGAGCACATCAATCCAGGCCAAACTACCCCCCCGCTTCAGCTCAGCCTCCACAAGATTGTCCGTCGTAGGAGTCCAACAACCAAGCTGTTTCTCTTTATTCCACGACATATATACAGGCTGGTCGTTGTATTTCGCTTCGGCCCACGCAACGCAAAGCACCCCAGACTGAGCGCTGTCTGTGTCTCCAAGGATCGGACTGTCGTAAAACGGGATATTGATACAATCGCCGACGTTTTTGAGGTGGGCTTCTGTAGCGGCAGTCAAGCGGTCCATCCGTGCCTTCCTCTCCTTGTCGTCTCGCAGGCTGTATTCTTCATGTTTGGCAACCTTTCTGGGCAGCATGCTGATGCCGTCAAACATGGTCACCTCCGGCACCCGACGAGCGATATAGGCCACCGACCAGAAGCTGTTGCCGTGGTGGTAAAATAGGAATACCTTGTCGACGTCCCGGATTTGGGATGTCGTTGTATCCATGCCCGGCGTATCGAGAAGCGCAAAGTATACACTATTGCCGCGGTACCGGTGATTCAGGCATGCGACCATGAGCGCCATAGTCTCGGCGTCGCAGCACGTCGGGTTATCAGGGCTAAGCTGCCGCATTGCCTTGTCCTTAATATGCCCGAACCTCTCGCGGTCCATCTGGAGAGAACCGGTGTTAGCGAAATTCCTGGATAGGATGTACAATGTACGCTTACGTTGGTCAGAGGTGCTGCCATTGGGTCTCGTGCCTAGTACGGTCGAGTGATGGGAATTCGAGGTAGCCTAAAAGGAAATGGGCCGGATTTACGTTCTGCAGTGCAATGCAGTGCACGTAATAGAAATGATTTCCGTAGGGCAGTCGGATGGTGTCACGGGCACAGCGGCCCAGCTGCAAGTCGCTTGGAGCGTTGAAACTTGCCGATTTCGGCCTTGATTGTCGCTACAAATGTCGCTCAAGCTGACACTCCTTTCATGCGCTTACTCGCTGTACACGCGGACTGGAGGTGCAACCTACTATCACGGTGCAGGCCGTAGTTGGGGGTATGCAGTATATTGTGAGGTTGCACGAGCAACCAGAAATGGAGGGCGATCGCCCTCCAGGGAATATCCCCAATCTGTGGTCGCGCACAGACCCAGGTGCACGGCCCCACTGCCAAGTCCCACTCGGGGCTGCCTGCAGTGCAACCCTAGCCAACCCTAACCCTACACGAGGAACGGGCACGGGCCACTGCACCGACAGTTACATTACAAGGACAGGCACTCGAGGTTGCCAGGGACGCCAAGATGGCAAGCAACGACCAGCCCTCGGGCAAGAATCGCGACACGGATTGCAGGGGGAGGCTTTCCCTAACCTGAAGAATTTTTTCGAGAACCTCCGTCTGGAGATCATAAACGACGAAGCCACGGCCAAGGCCGTCGTGGAGCTGCAGAAAGACGAGGGCGCCCGAGCGTTCCTCAAGATCATCGACGACGTGGTCAAGGCGCAGGACCAGCGTTACAACGAATCACAGACCAACACAGAGGCCATGCAGGCAGCCGCCAATGAGGCTGCCGGGGAGATGGCAATACCTCGTCAAATGGGTGGGCCACACACCCTCATGGCAACCAGCGACTGACCTTCGAGGCTGCGACGATGCCATTTGGGAGTTCCACAACTCGCACCCAGATTCCCCAGGCCCGCCCTACTGGGTGACGAGGAGGAAGAGAACGCGTACGGAAGACGGAGAATTACAGGGCTAACAGGGCCGCGACGGCCAATTGTTCTGGGCCCGCCTATCTGCCCCACCCCGCCTGCCAGTCGGTCTGCTTCCTACAACCCTGCAACCCGGCTCTCCCCCCAACCTCTCATCGCATCCCGCCTAGGTCTGCCCGTCCAAGACAAGTGAGATTATCCCGCTCTTGAGGGTCCGAGGTTCGAACACGATTGAAATATTTACGCTTGAACTCCTAAAGGAAGTCGCAGAAAGTCGCGGAATTGCTATAGTTATGCCATTGAAGTATTTGAGAAATTGAACTAAATCTACCATGAAGATAGCCGGAGGCAGCAGGATAAAGAGGAGGCTCGGTCTGGCCAAAATAATCGGCACACCACACCCGATACCTTCAGTCCAATCGGTCAAAGTTCAACCAAACCTCAACGGATTTTGACGATTAAAACTGGAATAGATACTTAGAGCTGAGCTGTTTCTATGGTCTAAATACTGTTGTTTCAAATCTTATTTTACATTACCGATGGCTTGACTTAGTTTTGTTCTGTCACTTTTGTAGAAAAGTAGGGCATGAAGGTAAGTGGTGCGCCGATTATTTCGAGGGCGGGTAGGGAGAAGGGGAAGGGAGGCGGGGAGGCAGCGATTGACCTGTAGGATTATTGGTGAGAAACATCGAGCTGTTGGGCGTGCCTTGTTGTGGCTTTTTCTCACGGTTGTCGGGGTTGTGTGCTGTGGTTTGCTGGTAGGTTTATTTGATTGGTTACCGACAGTCTGGATACAATTTCCAACAACGAATGAGGTTGGTGATAAGTGGGTCACGTGCTATGTTGTGCCTGTACTCCACTCTTCGTGTCTTCTTGCGAGCTTCCCAATTAGGATTGTTTGCATCCTCCCGTTAGACGCAATAATTGCCACAACCAATCAAATGCAAAAGCCTACCGCTAGAACTCGATCAACCAACACACACCTGCTGGGCCCACTCGGCAATGGCGTGGGCGTCTGCGACCTCGTGAGTTATCTTTTCTGGGGCCCGATCTTCGCGCCAACCTGGAAACCTGGAAGGCCGGGGTAGAAGAGGGAACAGCTGGAGATAATTACGAGCAAACAAACCCGGCTAAGGAAATGTTGGCCCATCTAGCTCGATTCGGGCGTCACGCGCCAGCTTTTCTCGATACAGGACTCCGTAGGGATCCATCAACCAAGAGCTGGCGGAGCTCCTGTCAAAAAGGCCGGGATGTGCGGTCCTTTCAGACGAGGATGTTTGAGCGCCGCAAATACGGTGCGAGTTTCTTCTCGGCTTCCAGTCTCATGCCCCGGTGATTACCGGCTCGTTGGGCTGGGAAAGTTAGACTCAGTCGGTTGGTTCTCATGGAGAGTTGTCGACGCCATAGGATGTGCGGGCTGTAGTGTAGCCAGTGTTCATGGTTTGGGGTAGCAAAAGTTGAGTTAAGGGATTCTGCCATTGCACTGTGCAGCCAGGTTGTGGCGTCGTCCAGTGGAACAGGACATTCGCCGGTTGGAATGTAGCTAGCAAGTGAGGGCTTTTATCCACCCAACCCCCGTTATAAGCTTTCCTAGCACCGTTCACAGTCGCTCCTCTCATACCTAGCGAAGGACAAAGCAGCACCAGACATGGCGCAGCTATCTACTCCGCTACCGCCTACGAGCGAGCCCGAATCCCAGGCCACCGAGATACATCTAGATGCCGACCTAGACGATGAGTCCTTCACCTTACCGCCTGAGCAAGCTTCACAAACCAACCGGTTTCGTGAGGAACTCCGCACTTGTGAGACCGACATGGAGAGATATGAACTGTGCGTACAGAAACGAGATGAGTTACTGAACCGCCATGCCGGATTACAATTACTCATCTCCACGTGCGAGCTAATCATGTCGACCGAGTGTCCTACATACCAACGGAGAAAGCGAGCCCGGCGCGGAGATTCCGGTCAGGAGGACGACGCAGAGCAGTGGCATCGCTTCCTAGGGCTTGCTACTGAAGGAGATAGGATTAAATCGAATTGTCTTTCTGCCCTCAAGGAAGTCGCCCGCTGCTGGGGCCGCCAGGTCACGCAGCACTACCATTGGGCCTCTAGAAGGGAAAAATATTGCAACCAGCTCCGTGCCGCCGCACGAAAAGTGCCCCAGTGGGACAACGCCGTGACGGGCCTGAATTGGTCAATTCTCCAACGATCAGAAAACGTCCGGCGGCGACCGGTAAAGGCGTCGGTGAACCCGATCGAACAGCAGGACCTGGAATATCTCAAGACTTGGTCTCAACGTGCACCTTTTGAAAACCCGCTGCCCATCAATCACACACCACACGGCCTTGGATTCGACCGTTTCGGCCTCCTGGTCCACAAAGAATTTGCTCTCATCTTGCCACAGGTCGACGGAGCCGGCAGTATAGGCTTGTCAGCCTCCCTGGAAGGCCATTTCGACACCTCTATAAGTATCCACTTACCAGAAGCCGAGGAGTTGGAGACATCGAATCAGACATCACGAGATCCAATCGTGAGCGAGACCATTGATACCATCCCCTTCCTCGCTGAGCCCGACGATGATGCCGCTATAAGGGAAGTCATTGATAACTTCTTTACCGACTACACCAATGACAGCAGCGGTAGCCAGGCGGCTGTCGACGTATCCACCGCTGTATATAGTCCGAGCTGCCTCGACTCCACCCTCGGTCAGTCTAGTGCGTCGGAGGCTAGCTGGGGGGGTTCGGGCCCCGGCGGCGCTGCGGTGGAGAACAAAGACGATCGTCCTGCCCCTAGAATGGAACCCCGCTCACGCAAACCCCCATCATCCCGGAGAGTGGCCAACAACGCAGGACCAAAACCTAGAGCAGCCAAACCCCGGGAGGCGCGCCGCTTCTTGGCTGAGGTTCCGTCAGATTGCTGCCCAGACGTGCCGCCGTTGCTTCGATCGACCTTGGCCAACCCATTGCTCTTCAACCATGAAACAGTCGACCAATTCTTCCCTTATCGTAGACTACTCTGTCGTGAGCATCCCCAGTGCTATGTTGAGCTTTGGCACCGTACGGAGCAGGCACGGGCCCTTGCTTCAGCCCAGAGTGCTGTGATAACCGAGCCCCCGAACATGTCAAGCCGTCGGCGTCGATCCTCGCTATCCGATATCGCCCAGCCAAAGCGCCCCCGGATCGACACGCCTCTGGTATTCACCGGAAGGCCTGGAGCTTCCGAAGACCGGCCTGCCCAGGATCACACACCTAACGACGCCTACCGGCGACGGGTATTGGCCGAATTGGAACAGGCGACGCCGTTGCCAGGATCGCACGGCGAGGTGACAAACCATCTTCTTCGCGAATTGCTAGTCAAGGTGCAGCACCCGAACACGGGGAGCAGCCGTGGAGCCGTCGAAGCCTTTTTCTGCACTGGCGATGAAGCAGCGCACATGGTCGAGACGCAGTCTTCTGGCCACTCCCCAATCATTACGAAGGACCAGCAGCCGTTCCAGTGGGGCAATAAGGGCCGACCGATTGAGCAGTTCTTGCGGCGATTTTGTGTGTTAGATTTGACTGTCTCGGTGCAAATCCCCTCTCACCCATCTACAAAGCAATCCTTCGAAGCTCGCAAGCTTGGAGAAGTTAAGGAACGGTTCCTCAACGGGGAGGACACAAGCGACCCGTGGAATATCCTGGATCTTCAGAGCCCTATACAGTGTATCCACCCTAAGTTTTTGACCGGAGAAAACTGTGGGCTGTTTTATGACGTCAGAAATTCGGCTTTGATGGAGGGCAGCGCCGAAAGAGTAACGGCGTCTCCACACAAGTGGACCGAGTGGAAGGACGTCGACACATGGGCGCTGCTCTCTGAAGGCGGGCATCACACGGCTCCACACATGGACAGCCATGGTTATTCCACTTGGATTACATGCCAAGAAGGGTTCATTGGGTTTGGCTGGATGTCATGCCCGACAGAAGAAGAGCGGGAAGGGTGGATGGCTGAACCACACCGGTATACCGGCGGCCGGTGGAGGTACATCATCCTTAAGCCGGGTCAAACCGTCTTCTTTGGCCCGGGAACGATTCACTTTGTTTTTCGAGCACGAGCATATCAAACTCTTGGTCTCGGCGGTCATATCCTACTGTGGTCTGGTATCGAATGGTGGATCCGAATTGTCCTTGCGGAGCTGAAAAACCCGGCAATCACGAATGAGGAGATGAAAAAGAGCGCGCCAAAACTCGTCCGTGCGGTGACAAGGCTGGTGGAAGCCAAAGTGAACGAGGGCAGGAAAGAGGAGCTGGGTGGTGAGGACGCAGTCAACAAGTTCTTTAAATCTGTGAAGGTAAGATCTTATAACGAGAGGCTTTGAACGGGCGATGCTAATAATGCCTAGGAGTTGGAGAACTTGTATAAACCTTGTAGAAGGTCACGACGTCGCTTACATGTACGGGTACATTGAGGTTCCTTGAGAGCCGTGACATCTATGGCGAAGGCTACGTCAGGCCGGGTGACGGCCGCACCAAATAGGACCTGTCACAATCTGGCCTGTATTGCCGGAGATCGTGGTGGTGGTGGCTGAGCGTGGACTTGGTGTAGCTGTATCTTCTTTTCTTTTTCTTCAACAACGTCAATCCAATCCCTACACTCTCGCACTCAGGATCACTGTTCTGCTACGCCACCATTTCCATTCATGTCTACTCATAACTGTAAGAGGACCACTTCCTCCTTCCCCGTTTAGGAGGTTACTCGCTTCTGCTTGGTGACAAATGCGTGGATCTTCTCGATGTAGGCGGCTTGGGAGAGCTAGATCTTGCCGTTCTCGCGATCGTAGATGACTTCCACGCCCGAGCATCCCTTTCTATATCTCTATCCAGTCGGTCAAGTCGACGCTCTACACTGACACGTCGAACTAACTCGAGCCTCAAAATCTCGATTTTGAGGGCAAGCTGATTGAAGCTTTATATTATATTAGATAGATATTTATTAGAAAGAAAATAGAGCTAACCTTTTACAGTTTGGACAGATAATTGTATAGTTCATTATAGGGGCAGGCATTTGGGACTGCTGGGCCGATTGCGGCTGGGCTGGTAGGGTAAAGTCGTCCTCGAACATCTGTAGTGGTTCCATTGTTGTATATCTTGTCGATGTATATGGTTGGCTCGTTCTGTTGGCTCGCTCTGTTGGCTCGTGTCGTTGCTCTGAGGTGTCTCTGTATTGGAAGAAAAGCTGGCAACCCACCCTCAATAGACAGGTTTCCTTTATATGTAACTAGGTTCCCATTTTCATTTTCTAAGAAGTGAGAAGAGTGGTTCCCCCTGCTGCTTTAAAGAGCCTATGCCTCTTAGACCCCTGTATAGGTATCTACTGGATCCTCTATAAGCACTCTATAAATAGCATATCCCCTAATCAAACAATTGCTCGCGCTAGAATTAGCGCGCGGTAAGCATTGACATCAAGAGCACTTGTAACGCAACCTTGATATTCACAGGCAGTGACTTTTCCAAGGCCACCTTTTCTTTTCAAAGTATCCATTGCCCACAAGTGTCTATCTTAGAGATGATGATCCACCAGAGGTACCAAACGGGGATATAAACATTTTCTGGTATATGCTGACTGATTTTCCATCTACAATTGTACCAGGCAGCTAATATAAATTGGCAATGTCTTGGGCAGCTAGCGCAATCGTGTCTCCAGGCAGAGATAACCGGTGGGTCCAACAACCTAGACAATCTATTATAATTACTGGCAGAACGGCGCAGTTCGCTGTTAAACATTGCTTCCTCGCCAACTACAACGCTGGATAATCGGGGGGGGGGGGGGGGGGGACACAGATTGCAAGTATTGGCATCTTTCCCTCGAACTTAGCGCCAACTCCATCCTCCTGGGCCACCTCCTTCCGCTCAGCGTCTACTGTAGCGCCACCATTGGCTTGTTCAGGAATAGGATAAATTTATCTACACGACAATATATTTATATCTGGGTCAGAGGACAAACCTAATCACGTATCAGCTAAGGCTATTAAGCGCTTCTTCTTAACAAACGTTTTATCTAATAGCCGCTAATTATTGCCTAACTCTAGAAACTATAGATCTAAATAAAGGTATAAATAACTATAGCTTGATATCTTTCCCTGAGGCAAAAAGACAGAGGTATATCGACGTGTCCTTACTATTGAGAGACAGAATGGCAGATCGAAGTGCATTGCTCGAACAGCTCTTTATCCAAGAGATAGAACGGAGGCTAGAGCTCGAAAAATATTGTTCCTCACTTCGAGCCGAACTATCCTCACTTTCTGCCCAATTGCAGAGTGAGAGGCTGAATAATATGGCTCTTCGTCATATGGTAAGTGTTCTTCTTTTTACTGTCTACTGAAGAACGACTTACAAAATGGAATAGGTACCCCTTTCGATCTTCGAATATAACCCTTTAGCTGTGGAATTCCACCCAGATGGTTATACAGAGGTTGAAGATCTTGCTCTATCGCCTGAAGACCGGGGAGAGTCAGTTTCTTCTACACCCCACCTGGAGAGTGTCCAGGAACAGCCGGCGGGAGCAAACGGGCAAATTGGCAGCGACGAGTGTGCGCAGAGAGAGCGAGAGAAGACACAGGCTGGAGAGGGAGCGAAGGTCAGCTGAATTTAAGGATAGAACGGTCTAAGGTGATATATGGGTATTAGGCAGTCTCGCAAGCTTTGTGAGGAAAGAAGCGTTTTATGGCAGGGGCTGTATGCTGCTAAATTTACATTATTCTGCACTCTCAGTTTATAGCGGACAGTCCCTGTCTTAATTTCTAGATTCAGTTGTTTTTGACGTTTTAGGCTGCCCCACATCTGGTGGTCGGATTCCGATGGCCAGATGTGGGCAACGGAGACGCGGATTTGCGCCTGCTGGGGAACGGTTCCTTAGCCTCGACCTGGTACAGCAGGCTCGGATATCATGGAGCATGGATCATCGAGCCTGCAACGGCCTCTAGGGGCGCCTGTCGGTACTACGGAGGATAGAGAATGGAAACCAACCACGCATGGGTGTGCCGACTGCTGCGCAGGACAAAAGTTGGGGAGGATAGTCCTGGGGAGATGCCGAATATAAATATGGCGGGATCGCTCTGGCCGTTATGGTGTTAACGGAGGGCTAGTAGTAAAAGCTGGTAGCAATTGCTCAGAGTCCAGATTGTCATCGAAAAGCAAAGCTCCGGTGCATGTTTGGGTGTGTGCATTGAGAGGAAGGGGTATGGGGGTAGTTCGCAGATAACACGCAGGTGTGTGGTATTCTCAATGGTTGTCGATGGAGGTTTCACAAAATCCGCCACCGCTATCTATAGTAGCAAAAACGCAGTCAGCATATTTAGGAATCAGCCCATTCTTTTTAACCTCAACATAAAGACCTCCTAGTTAAGGCTAACAAGCGAGAAGCTGCTGATCTAATCTACAATCAGCCTCTCAGCACCATCATCAACAAGACTTGCTGTCGTTGGCAAGCGTAATAGCTTCTGTGGGCTACGCCTCCATCCAGATACATCGACGCCGCTTGCTGTACATTCATGAAACCATAAATCCATCTCTTCTATGGTAGGACGAGGCGATGATTCCACTAGATAGGATTAGAAAAGTACATGGAGATACCTAACAAGTCACCTACTATGGTTCATTCTGTTCAGCGTTGCCTTTGCTCTCACAATGTCTCCTTTTGCTCTCCAATGCTTGTAAAGAAATGTACCTATTTCTCTGAAATCGGGGTAGAGAATGTATCCTATCTTCTCTGCAATGTGGAAAAAGTCGTCTGGGCGGTTATACGGTCCAAGCATTCTCAAATGGATAATGATAACTGATAATTGTTGGGAACTGTAATGGTTGTGTTGTCAAAAAAGAATGTAATGATGAGCAAGCTCGAAGGTTAAGGGATCTATTCCAAGTTAACATAATTACAGCAGTGGGGTAGCTCTTTGCCATTACCATAGCTGGGAATCGAAGTGCTGGGTGCCCTGTGACGGTGGACCGGGGTGGAAGGGGCTATTAATCGCCTTTTTAAGGTGAAGGGTGGATGTATGATGCTAGTACTAGATATAGAAGTTATTCCTTAACACACAGTAGTTAAATTGGTACCCTACTATAAAGAACTGCTATACTGTACTTTGCTTGAACTTAGGAAGAGAATAATTCTTATTTGCCTCTACTTTTATATGCTTATGATAGAACTACTCCCACTAACTAATTTTGTTATAGGACCTGGTATCGGAGAGGGGTGTTAGTGTATACGCATGTGGGTAGTGGAGGTAGGGACAAGGAGGGGGAAGGACGTGAGGATAAGCTGGGAAGTCATAAAGTTGTTGCATTTAATACCCGGACAGTTGCGGTTACTAATAGGCAGCAGAGGGCATTGTCTCAATCGACTGAAGCTGATGGTCAGCAGACAGCCGCGGCCGAGGATGCGGGACGACCAGAAACAAATGCCGGAACGGATCCTTAACGCGAGTCTACCACTATTCAGCCTACAAACAGTGGGAGTTTTCTGGTGCGCGCGTTTCCCTACGAAGGAAGTACTTGGCTGGCAGCCTTAAATCCCTACAAGCCCACGCGGAAAGCAACGAACATCGATTACCTGGACTTGTCTGTTGCCCATTCTCCATCTTCTCTCTCATTCATAGTCATCTAGTATCAGAATGTGTATGACAGTACTATGCTCCATACTTCACAATGTGTCTTAAACACTCCGTGTGGCCCGATAGAAAATTCGTCCACTCCGCTCATCTTGACTTTCGCCTTGCCTATAGCCACCGAACACACGCGTATTTTGTCCGATTCCAGCTCTACGACGAGCTTATGCCCTGCTGAAATGGCCTTAACCTGGAAGGTCACACCGTCGAGGATAGGAGTAGCGGCACTCGGTCCGGTGAGAAAATCTTTCGAGTATGCGATTGCTAAAGGTGTCCAGGGTCAGTCTAGGTTGTATCTCAAGGTCCATCGTCTATGGAACGAAGAGCGTAGTACAATGGTATAAGAATAAACGCCAAAACGACTTGCTATGGAAACACGTACTCTCCGCCCCCGGAATAGTTGTCTTTGTGATCTGGCCGGGTGCGACTTCCCAGGAGCTGGTTGCTGAGACCCAGAGCAATCTTGACTTTTGGCTGGGGAACGGCTCCATCGTTTGGCTGGACGATAGCCAAAGCGTCTCGTTGGTAAGGCTGGGGCTGGCTGGGACCGTCGGGAAATCCGGTTATCGGACGATGAGATCTGACAGCGACTTGAGGAGCCACAAGAAGGCAGCTCGAGGCGTTAGGGCTAAGGGTCTCGCGCCCTTCTTGGAAGGCTGGCTGGCCAGGGTGCTAGGCGGGTCCATGTCGGTCATCCTCTCGGGCGGTGTCAACCATCGGCCTGTCTCGCTCCTCGGGAAATCGGTAGACTGTGCGCGGAGAGAGTACGAGTAGGGAGACGAACAAGTAGGTGCCGCGGGGCGTTAATCGACTCGAGCGGCAGATCCGTTGACAGTCCTGATGCCCAGTGTCTTTTGGAGACCAACTCCATTCGGAGTCGTCCGTTCCCTGCGCTTAAGACCCTGGAGTCTCTCGCTCTGCGGAGCTCGCTGCGCCCCAGTCGGGGAACGGTCCAGCTTTTCCTTGACCAGAGCGATTCTCCCCGAGCCCGCCGTGCTTCACGACCCCATGGGCCGGCAGCACGAGTGCTTGGGCGGCAGTGTTGCGGATCGGACCACTCCTAGAGGAGCTGGCAGCTCCAGGTCTGCGGTCGGAAGGCAGGACCTCGGCTTTCTCCAAGCGGTTCCCTACCACCACCGCCCTCTCGAACCCGTCGGTTGCTCAGCAAGCTTTCAACAGTCGTAGCTGGGCGCTGCCTCAACTGACTGGTCCCACTTGATCACAGGTGACGGTTTCGTTCAGTTTGGTGGGCATGGGACTGCCTGATTTGCCGAGGCTGCCTACCGTCCGGTGCGGTGTGTTGGCGGGTATGTGAGGGAGAATAAAAGAGAGAAAGAGAGTTATCCAGGGGAGTTGGAAGGCGACCGTACTATATATACGTAACCGCCCGCCAACATTGGTTTCCCAGAAGAACCAGCCAGCCCCCATTCGGTAGGGCAGGCGAGCTGGTACATAATACAAGAATAAGGGGGGTAATACAGTCACTAGCGAAATCGGCTTCCGCTTTTCTCTTACGCATTTTTTCTGTGCACAGACTTTTTATGCATTTAGCCATCTACACAGTGCGCCCTCGCGTGCTTGGGTATCCCACTGAGCGATCTAACCATATGGTAAAGCTGTTCCTTTGCTGGTTTGGGACAGCTTTTTTTTTAAAAAAAACAACGCTGTCGTTTGAAAATGGCCGAAGGCACGAATAACTTTTCTACAAGTCGGCAGCATCAGCTCTGTGTGCATGTGTTCTATGACTTGTGGTTCTGATCATCTGGAGCCACGATGATCTTTCGTGTGGACCATCCTCAATGTTAATGCCTGAGCTTGCAAAGGTAATCTTTAGCCAAGTCGCCACTGTTGTCGCTATTGCCACATATTCGATCACTCGATAGCAACCTTGTTGAAACATACTTAGAAAGCGGCGATTGCTGATAAATTATCTAGAAACTGGGAGAATATGGTCATGGAAGGTTATATATTGACACTGTCTCCTAGGCCCTTCCCAGAAAGAAAAATCCGAATAGAAAATAATAGCATTCATTCTCTTGTCGGTTCTGTCGAATCGTAGTGCGACATCGTGAGGCAAGTAGAGACTGCCGGCGTACCACTGGTATAGGCATGACATTGCAGTAATCGTACGACAGCCTCGTGGCCCTCCCTAGTAGCCCGCAAAAGCGGTGTTCGGCCGTGGTAATCTTTCGTGTCGACGGTGGCGCCGGCATCGAGTAGTAATCGTACAACAGCCTCTTGGCCGTTCTCGGCAGCCTGCGATAGCGGCGTTCGGCTGCAGCGATCTTTCGTGTCAACGGTGGCGCCGGCATCGAGTAGTAATCGTACGATAGCCTCTTGGCCGTTCTCGGCAGCCCATGATAGCGGCGTTCGGCCGTAGTAACCATCTTTCGTGTCGACGGTGGCGCCGGCATCGAGTAGTAATCGTACGACGGCCT